GCTCGCCCGCTCCTCCCGGCGCCTCTCCGCGCCCGCTGGCGGCGCCACGGACGCCCCTAGTTCTGTAGGTGTTCCCCCCGCAGAGCTGGCCGGGCAGGAAGCTGGGGCTGGCACTCGGCAGGGGTCAAGGTGACCCCCAGACTCACTGCTGTGGCTCCTGGGGCGTGTCGTGGGGTCGGCGGGACACGGAACGTGACCGTCCCGAGTGCGCAGTTGGGCCCTGTCCTTCTGAGGGGCCCGGCTTGCGTTTGCTCACGTCCCGTCGGTGACCCGCCGCAGCCCGAGAGGGAGATGGGGAGCGGGAGTGCCGGCCCCGAGGGCAGGGGTGGGGCCCGGGGAGGCCGTCTCGTCGGAATCGGGGACTGACCGGTCCTGAGACCAGCTCCGCCTGCAGAGTGGGGGACAGGTGCCTGTTGTTGGAGTGGTCTGGTTTCATTCGGGTTTGCCAGTTGGAGTTTCAGTCTCCGGCTTGTGTTGTAGAGATGAGGGACTTGAGAGTCCTGTATTCTTAGTTTGTGCTCAAATCCTGGCTTTGCTGTTTTTTACGACCTTGACCAGTCACTTTGATGTGAGCTCAGTTTCCTCTGGGGCAGCTGTAGTACATAGTCCGTGAGGTGACTAGGAGCCCTGGGCGGGCGGCTGGTACTGGGCAGGGGGTAGCGACTCTTCCAACGCGGAGCCTGAGCTGCATCGTCCTCATTGCTCACCCTCCCGGAGCGGTGTGGGGAGGGGGATAAGATGGGCGGTTGGAAAGCTGGGCTGGGATAGCAAGGCGCCCAGGTCGCGTGTAAAGGATGTTCCAGTGTTAACCTTTTTCCCCGGGACACTGAAATTTGCCCAAGGTGTATGTGTGGGGTGGTGTTTAAGGATGATTTCAGCCCTGGCTGGTTTGGCTCGGTTAGAGCCTCGGCCAGTGGACTGAACGCTCCCAGGTTCGGTTCCGGCCAAGGGCACGTACCTCGGTTGCAGGCTCGGCCCTGGTTGGGGCGCGAGTGGGAGGCAACCACTCGATGTCTGTCTGTCTGTCTCTCTCTCTCTCTCTCTTTCTCTCTCTCTCTCTCTCTCCCTCTCTCCCACTCTCTCTGAAAAAGCAAAGGGGGAAAAATATCCTGGTGTGAGGATTAAAACAAAACAAAACAAAAAATTAAAACAAAAAAGAATGATTTCAATCTAAGATTAGATGTGCTGTTAACTAGAATAGGGAGGGCAAGAAGAAGGGCAAATTTTGTGGGGGTGGCTGGAGTTGTGGGGGAAGGGTCTAGGTTTATAAATGTTGAGCGTGTGATAGGTCTGGTAACAGCTGGACTTGTGAATATGGAATTTAATAGATCTGGGCGTCTTCAGCCCATAGGTGGTAGTTGTATCTGGTGGGGTGGGGATGGGGTTGGGGGATCACCCAGGGAGCATATAGGGAAGAAAGGTGGGAATATAATTAGACTACATGGAGGGTGGAGAAGGAAAATTTATCAAAGGAACAATCCAGAATTAGAAGGGAAACCAGTGTGGTGTCACTGAAACCAAATTGGTAATGAGGTCTAAAGAAGGAATTGTTCACAGTGATTTTTTTTTACAAATATAGGAAAACAACCATTTCTATCATATCTGTTTCTACTATAAAGAAAGTATATGTATGCATCTTAAAAGTTATAGTTTGATGAGTTTTAACACACATTACCCCTAAGAAGTTTCCCTCTTACTCTTGCCCTGCCAGTCCCTGTCCACCTCCCTATTCTGACTTTTATTACTATAAATAGATAGTATTGCCTGTTTTTGAATTTCATATAAGTGGAACCACACAGTACTCTTCTGTGTAAGGCTTCTTTTTCTCAATGTTTTTGAAGTTCATTCATGTTACATGTATTGCTGTGTAGGATTTATATGAATATATCACAATTGACCTGTTGGTGGTTGTAGATGTTCTTTTAGTAGTTTTAGCATAATCTAGGTTTTGTTACCTACTAAGGAAAAAATGAAGTTTTAGATTAAAATGAACATATATTGAAATTGACTTGGCACTCAGAACAGAGATTACGCTGAGATGCATTTGGTGCAGCTAAGGCTTTCAGGTTTCTAGCACCTCTTGAATTGTGTTTCTCTTAAGAATTTGAACTTCTTAGTTACTTATGGATTTCTTAAACTATGTTGAAAGACATGATAACATGTAAACTTTGTATGAATTGTAGATTTCAGGGTGATTTTGACAGGCATCCCCCAAACCAGGTGTTCTGCTTTCGGTAATTAGAGGATCACTTCAATTTTTCCTTTCTTGGAAACATTAGCACACTGGAAAATGTAGACGTTTATAAATTTCAGTATTATGTAAAGTGCATTGAATAACTGAACATGCACTGAGCCACCTAATATGAAAAAGCTAGTTCTCTAACAATAGTGTTCGTAGAGATTTATAAGTCAACTTAATGGCAAGTAATTGTGTGGGGGGGTATTTTCCAGTGGTTGCTTGAAAAGCATTTCCCTTACCTTCATATGTGGTGCCATTAAATTGAGGCCAGTAAACAAGTGAAAAGATGGTCAACATCATTAGTCGTTAGCGAACTGCAAATCAAAACCACAGTGAGAGACCCGTTTGTACCTGCTAAAATAAAAAAGGCAGAAAACAGGTGGTGTTGAGAATGTGGAGAATCTGGAACACTAGTACATTGCTGGTGGGAATGTAAAATGGTGTAGTCACTTTGGAAAGCAGTTTGGCAATTTGTTAAAAAGTGAAAATTTACCATATGACTTCGTAGTTCCTCTCGTATTTAAACTGGCAGAATGATATTCTAGGTAGAGGGAACTGAGTGATGGGGAGGACAACTGGGGAATCATTAAGTTTGGCTGTGGTGCATGGAGGTAGATCATGAAGGGTCTAGGATGGTAGGACTTAATTTTGTGAGAAATGAGTAGGAATTTACAAAGCAACTTAATGTAGAAAGTTGTGGGAGAGCCTTGCCCAGAGGTTGAAACAGGGACATGCTTCTTACCCTTAGTTTCATGAAAGGTTTGTGGAGGAGCAACTATGACTAAAGCTGTGCTTTGAAAACAATCTGAGTGGGAGAGACCAGTGCCAGAGAAGCCTATTACACCCATAAAATAGTTCAAGGTCTTCTGAGTAGGAATGGAGAGTCAGAGGTCTGATGATAAGGGTTTAGCAACTGATGAGGAAAGAGGAATTCAGGAAGACTGGGAAATGGGAGGCTGGTGATGCTTTGCACAGAAACAGGGAGCCCCTGAGCAGACTTGTGAGGCACTGGGTGGATTTTGGACACGCGGAGTGTGAGGTGTCAGGGAAACGTGCAGTTAGTGGTATCTGGCTCGCAGTTAGAAATAAAGGACTTTAGCCACTGTGGATTGAAACTTGTTTATAGTCCTAAAGCACAGTGAAAAAGTTCATAGGTTTCTGTCATTTAAAATTTAATAAGTTTTTGAATAACTCTTATTTCTCCAGTTTCTTCCTCCTCCAAATACCTAAAAGGTAGGAGAAAAGGAAAACTTTGGGCCAGTTAACTTTCATGGGAAAAAACCATGTTTGCTTTTCTCTTTAAAAATTTGGAGCAACTAAAGTAGACTACGAAGAAAATACTAAATGTGGTTGTGGTTGAGTGGCTTTTAGTCAATTGTAGAGGTGGTGATTGGGTAGACAGCCCAGAGAGTCAATCAATATTAATAAGCAAAGCCTGTGTTTTCTGTTTAGTCTATAGTCCACTTATTTTAAGAACAGCTTTCAGCGTTCTCATTGCTGTGGGAGGCTCAACCATCAAGTGCTGATTTACATTACTTTGGTTCTGAAATATTCAAGTCTACATTGTGGTGAAACTGTAGACTTCCTTAGTTTATTTGTACATTCTACAAATATTTACTGAATGCTTTCCTGTGCTAGTTGCTTTTCTAAGTCTTCGGAAATAAAGAGCAGTGAACAAAACATGCCCAAATCCTGCCCCCCTGGGACTTCCATTGCAGTATGGGGGAGGCACAAAGTGGACAAAGTAGAATATAGTATGTTGATGGTGATAAGCGCTATGGAGAAAAATAAGGCAGAAAAGGGGGATAGATTGTTAGCAGGTTAAGGGGGAGGGCATGCAGTTTTAAAAAGGGTCTTTAAGGGAAGGTGATGTATGGGCAAAGACTTGAAGGTGTGACCTCTTAGGTTTTTTTTTAAGCCTGTGGGTTTATCCTTCCTATATCCATGTAGCTGAGGGAGCTACAAATAGTAAACCTATGTTAACCCCCAAATCTCATTCAGTTTATACTTATTGAATACCTGCAGGTGCCAGACACTACTTTAGGCACACATTTATTATCTCGTGCAGTCCTTTCAATGGTAGGTACTATCATACACATGTCACAGATGAGAACACTGAGATTTCCTTTTTTATTTTTATAAAGTTAAATTATTTTTTAACTTACGGGTTTATTATATTGTTTTGGTTTTGTTTTCTGGTTCTGAAAGACAACTCTTTTACTATTACAGGCTTTTCCAGATTGAGATATTTCTTTACTGTGTGTCTGAAAAGAATCTGAAGTCCTCTTTGGGGTTAGAGATTCCATGTTAGTACATCAGCTCACCAAGAGAAGAAAAGGGACAGGCAGGTCTCTCTTGAAATAAAATCAAAGCTTATACAGATTATAAATGTTTTACTGGTTTGATAAGACAGACACAATAGGTATTTCTAAAATTCAGATTAGGCCTTTGATGTTTGCTCCTCTCTCCCTATGTCTCCCTCGCTCCTCCCCCTTCTTAAAGGCAGGGAGTTCTTGACAAGGGTGCTGTAGAGGACCTGGGGTGTTTTGTTGAAAGTTTAAGGACTTTAAACCTTAAACTTAAAAAATTAAATGCCTTGTAATACAGAATTGGAGAAGCTTTCCTTCCCTCTCACGCGGTTGAATGACTGCCTCCACTATTCTTGACAGCCTGCTCCTTGAAAGGCTTGTTCGGATGCCCAGACATACTTTCAACNTTCTTGTAATACAGAATTGGAGAAGCTTTCCTTCCCTCTCACGCGGTTGAATGACTGCCTCCACTATTCTTGACAGCCTGCTCCTTGAAAGGCTTGTTCGGATGCCCAGACATACTTTCAACTGGACATTTCCCTTTTTTCCTGCAGGGATTAAAGCCTGTGGCTTCCACAGAAGCACCGCCTATTATATTTGCCACACCAACTAAACTGACTTCCAATTATACTGCGTATGATTATGCTGGGAAAAACAAAGTTCCAGAGCTACAGAAGTTTTTCCAGGTGAGAGGAGACACTCTAGAACAGAGAAGCCTGTGAAATAAATAGGTTTAAAAAAACCCTGTGAAACCAAGTCTTAATGTCCACCTTCTCTTTTTTTTCCTTAAATAGGATTCTCTTGATTTTAGTTTTTTTTTGAGCCATAAAGTAGTACAACTCAATGTAGGTAGAAACTGATGAGAGAGAGGGTGATTAATTTCTTCATCAGTATTTGAGGGTATGTATGTTTTCAAATTGCATATATTGAATGGAGGAAGCAGTAGTGTGTATAATGTATAATAACATTGTGAATAATCCAATATATATTTGGCTTTGTGATACATGCAGTGACATTTGACAAAGTTTTCTAGTTGTTTTTTGCTTCCTTGATATTAAAATTCACTGAGTTGTTGCTAGAAGTGGAGGAAGCTCCTTTGGGTTTGCTGATCAACAGAGAGAAGCCAGAATTGGATTTTAAAGTTTTGTTAACATTAATCTCTATACAGATAATTGAGAGGTTAGTGACCCAACTATTTTTCAGGTGCCATGGGAGTGGTAGTGACTGTTACTGTTGTTGCTGTAAGGTAGCTTCTCCCTCCTCAAAAATATGTCCAGATTCAGGACTGGCTTGGGGACTTTTGATCAGTTTAATCCCTTTTATCTGATAAGTAAGTCTTGAGCTGGGTGGGGTTTTGAGTTGCAGTGGGGAGGGCTTTTGGAGACTGAAAAATAATGGATTAAATTTATAGAGTCTCATTATTAAACAGAGGTTTAACACCTTAATGGAAAGAAGATGTCTGAATAAAAAAATGGAATTGAATCTATGAACTGACCTGGTATGCTCAGACTTCATCCACTAATGATCAGGAAGTCACACTAAATATAGAGAATTTCTTGTACCTATAGTTCTTTGGTTAGCTGCTGGATACCTTGATCTTTAAAAAAAAAAAGTCACCAGTGCTTCTTTTTTAGTTAAACAATATGATAAATTCCTTAGAAATTTGGAATTTGTTGCATGTGCATTCCTGAGACTGCGTTTTGGAAGAATGACTTTGGATTTACAAGCTTTAGTTACATTTATAAGAAAATATACTAGTATTTCAGTTAGCATTTTTATGTGTTAGGGCTTTTTCCACTGTAATGGCTTGATGGATTAGTTATAAAGTAGAGACATTTCTTCTTTATTAGCTTAAATTAAAGATCTTTTTCTTATCAACCATGTCCTTGATAATTCTTTCTTTCAAGAAATCTGATGGTGTGCCCATCCACCTGAAACGAGGCCTGCCTGACCAAATGCTTTACCGGACCACCATGGCACTGACATTGGGAGGGACCATCTACTGCCTGATTGCCCTCTACATGGCTTCACAGCCTAGAAACAAATGAGTTGGGCTGCAAAAGACTGGTTTGCTTTTTGGCATAAACCCTTTGAATTTTTGTTTCTGTACTTGAATGGCCTACTTAACATTTTGCAAGGAAAAAAAAAGATAGTAAGACAGTATTTTGGTTTGTGTATGAAATGCACATGGCCTGTCACAGCTCACTTGACAGTTAAAACTATTGTTCAAAGAAATGCTGCTGCTCTTCAAGTTTGGGCTCTTGATTTCCCTGGAGGTCCTGGATGAAGGTTGCATACAGAGTCATTAATGGCAGTCTGTGCTGAGGTCCTTGGGGACTCACAGTAGCCTTTTTGAGCATGGGTGCAGAAGCCTTTCTGGATTTGGATATGTCTGAGGAAGGAAGACAAAAGCCAAGGCCAGGTGCACGAAATGAGGGGTTTGAGTGTGTAGTTACCTTGGGGATTTTTCCATCTTGCCATAAAATGTTAATAGAAATTATTTGCAGCATGCCTCTATTCATTGGGCAGTTTGTTTCAAAGGGTTATTTGCCTCATCCCAGATCTTCAGTGAAATTTTATGTGTAATTATTATGTATTTATTCCACCATGGGAACAGAACACCTGTTTAGTGTTGCATTTTAAATCGATGTCTGTTTTATTAATGAAGCTGTGACACAAAGTCTCCTTTACCTTTAAAAAATGTTATGATTTTTAAATTATGATTTATTTTGATTGTGGAATAAATACATGAATGAAAAAATCTCAAGTTTGAAGTTTTTAAAATGATCTTTCAAAATAATTTCAGAACACCAGATGCATCTAGACCTGAGTCTAATTTTTTTCTTTTTAATTTGGCACCAGATAATCTTTACAAAATGGTTCCTTAAAGTCAAGTAAAAGGAGGCTAATGGTATATGGATGATTACCATATGCTTCCTTCCAGGAAAACTGCTTCCCCCGTAGTGAAATGTACCTGTAACACACAGTTCATTTAGACATTAATTTCCTGTGCCATCACAATTGGTAGACTCACACACCCTATATTAATGTTGAAAACGGTGGAATTTTACTGTATATGAAGTGGTGGCCTGTATCTTGCCTTGGCAAAGGATGGTGATTTATTACTGAGGATAAAATATTGTGTTTGTAAACAGTAGCATTCCCACAGGCTAGGAAGCTGTCATGTATAAGTCTAAACTTTATTATTTGTTATTTCCCCCCAATTTTTATTTTGAAAAAATTTCAGATGACAGAAACATTGTAAGAACAGTACAGAATACACCTGTGTATCCTTCACTTAGGTCACCAGTTATCAATTATTGTCACCTTTGCTTTTTCTCTCTCACAAGCACAGGCACACAATGAATGTATGTACATACTCACATTTGGTTTCTGATGAATCATTTAAGATTAAGCTATAGAATTATGATGACTCAGCCATAAATACTTTAGCCAGTGTCTCCTAAGAATAAGGATATAACTCAGTTTCACACCCAATTTAACATTGATAATACTGATATATAATATATTGTCTCTAATTTTCCTCAGGTATCCTCATAATGTGTCCTTCGTAGTTACGTTTTTTAAAATAACAGTTTTATTGTGATTTAATTCACATACCATACAATGTACCTATTTAAAGTATACAATTCAGTGGTTTTTACTATATTCAGAGTTGTTCTACCATTGCCACAAATCAGTTTTTAAACATTTTTATTACCTTAAGAGGAAACCCTTTGCCCCATTAGCAGTCACTCCCTTTCCCCACCCTACCTCCTAGCCTTAGGCAACCACTAATCTATTCTCTGTCTCTAGATTTTTTCTTTTTGGGCATTTCATATAAATACAGTAAAACCTCAACATAATTGGGGTGGGGTGGGGGTGCCATTAAAGCTGAAAGTCTTATATAATAAAGTAGGTTTTCTGAATACATATGTTAAAAAACTGACAAATTAGCTTACCTGTTTTTACTTATGTAGACAATTTGTGTAATTAAAATTAAGTATGAGAAGTTTAATTTCACAGAAAAGTTTTCTATATGTATTACAGTAATTTTAAATTTATACTGAATAGGTCTAGTAAATGAGTGCATTCACCAGTCACCGAGAGTAAACAAATGCAAGAACATTGGCCAGCATGTGTTAAAACTGCTGCAGAAAGTCAAGCCACCCGACAATGGAACCAATTACTGCTCCCGGTGTGGTGTGATCACATGCTAACTGTTTGCTGAACATTGTTTACGAGCGGTGACTCTTGGATTTAAATTTGTAGATTATAGTTGTAGATATGTAACATTTATGTTAGTGAAATTACTACAATGTTTTTCCCAATTTATGACCTATTTGCTAAAATTTGTTAAAAATAACAGTGAACCAGTAACAAAAGGCAACCTGTTAATTATAAGCAAATCTTGGTTAAAAGCATTTAAAAATTAATAGGGTGTTAATTTTCACATCTGATATATGGACCAGAAATTTTGTCTGTTAAGTTTGAAGCCCGTTAAACTGAGGTCTGAAAAATCGAGGGTTTACTGTATAATCATACAATATGTGATGTTTTGTAACTGGCGCTCTCTGTGTAATTATTTCGAGGTTCATCCATATTGTAGTATGTATCAGTACTTTATTCCTTTTTATGACTGAATAATATTTCATTATATGGATATAGCACATTTTGTTTATCTGTTCATTAGTTAAAGAATATTTGGATTATTTCCATTTTTTGGCTATTATGAATAATGCTTTTATAAATGTTGGCATACAATTTTTTTTTCCTTTTCATTAAATTTATTGGGGCAACACTGGTTAACAAAATTATATAGGTTTCAGGTGCACAATTCTACACCTGGTACAAAAGTATTTGTATGGACATAGGGTATATAGTGAGGAGTGGAAATGCTGGGTCATATGGTAACTCCATATTTAACTTTCCTTTTTTTAATGTGTTTTTTTAAATTGATTTTTAGAGAGAGAGGAAGGGGGGGAGAGAGAGAGAAACATTGATGTGAGAAAAACATCGATTGGCTGCCCTCTGCAGCCAGGGAGTGAGCCCACAACCTGGGCATGTGCCCTGACCAGGAATCGAACCGGCAGCCTGTCAGTGCACAGGATGGTGCTCAACCAACTAGCCACACTGGCCAGGGCTCCATATGTAACTCTTGGGGAACTGCCAGACTGTACCATTTCCACCAGCAGTTGGTTTTTGTTTTTATTTTTGTTTTGGGTCCAGGATCCACTCAAGAATCACCCATTGCATTTAGTGGTGATACTCCTTTAGTCTCTTTTTATCCAGAACAGTTCCCAGTGTCCTTCATGACATTCACCTATTTGAAGAGGTCAGGCCAGTGTTTTGCAGAATATCCTTTAACTTGGATTTGTCTAATTATCTCCTTATGATTGGATCCAGGTTAAACAATTTTGTTAGGAATTCTTCATATATGGTGTGGTATCCTTATCATATCATATGGTACTTGATACTAGTTTGTCCCATTATTGGTGATTTGAACTAGATAATTAAGATGGCTGTCAGATTTCTCCCTTGTAAAGATACCCAGTCCCCTTTGTAATTTATAAGTAATCTGTGGGGTGATATTTGAGTCTGGGAATATCCTATCTTCAGTAGTTTTGCACCCAGTGTTAGTTTTCACTGGTGATTCTTTGAATCATTTATTTTTTAAAATATATCTTTATTGATTTCAGAGAGAGGAAAGGAGAGGGAGAGAGAGAAACATCAATGATGAGAGTCATTGATCGGCTGCTTCCTGCACGCCCCTGACTGGGGATCGAGCCCGCAACCCGGGCATGTGCCCTGACCAGGAATCAAACCCCGATCGCCTGTATCCTAGGTGGATGCTCAGCCGCTGAGCCACGCCCGGCTAGGCTGAATCATTTATTTTTAAGGTGGTTGTAAAAAGGTGACTTTCTACCCGTCATTTCTTCTACAGTGTTAACATTTTTCAGTGAAGATGAGTAACCCCGTTTTAAAAAGTTTAATTTTTTTATTTAGTGTAATAACCATCTCTGTTGTTATTCATTCTGATGCTCAAATTCAGCCCAAATTTGGTTTCTGTGTCCTGTTGACATGCCCCTGTTAGTCTTTGAGTATTACTTCAGTTTCTGACACACAAGATGCTTTCTGTGCTGACCTTATGTTTTCTCCACCCCCATTGCCTCTGTTTCCTGTTTATTTTCAGGCATGTTCTATTCATAGATATAGATGCATTTTCCTTTTCTGCCTGTTCTATTTTTGCCTAAATGGCACTATACATTCTTACAACTCATGATTTGGAGATAGTTCTCTGCTTTATTTTTCTTTTCTTTCTTAAAAATATATCTTTATTGACTTCAGAGAGAGGAAGGGAGAGAGGGGGGAGAGAGAGAGAAACATCAGTGTTAGACACATCGATTGGTTGCCTCCGGCACATGGCCAGGACTGGGGATCGAGTCTGCAACCGAGGTATGCATCCTTGGCTACAATGGAACCCGGGACCCTTCAGTCCTCAGGCCGTTGCCTCTAACCACTGAGCCAAAGCTGGTAGGGCTAACTTATCTCCTTGTGATGGTTATTTAGTCTTACAGTTTTTGCTTTTATAATCACTGCTTTAATGTGTAATCCTTTTGTCATTTATATTACTGAGTATATTTGTAGGATAATTTCTGGAAGTCAGACTTATAAGCAAAGAGAATGTGCATTCCCAATTTTGATAGCTGTTCCTCACTAAAAGAGATAGTGCCTGCTCTTCCCCCTCCTTTGTCAGTCTGGTAAGTGATAAAATTTCTTTGGTTTAAATTGCCTTTCTATTGTAATTAGTGATGTTGAATATCTTTTATTTAAAATTTATTCTTAATTTAAAAAATCTTTTTTTTTTTTTTTTTAAATATATCTTTATTGATTTCAGAGAGAGGAAAGGAGAGGGAGAGAGAGAAAAACATCAATGATGAGAGAGTCATTGATCAAGCCTGCAACCAGGCATGTGCCCTGACCGGGAATCAAACCCTGATCACCTGGATCCTAGGTCGACGCTCAACTGCTGAGCCACGCCCGGCTGGGCAAAAAAATCTTTTTATTTTTAAAGGTAAGTTTTATTTCTTTTTTCCTGACCTGTCTATTCATGCACTTTGCCCACCTGTGTCTAGGTCCTTTTGATAAAGCCATTAATGTCCTTGGTCCATCAGGCTGCCTTCCTCAGGAACAGTCTCTGCTGACTCCTGTCTGAGCCAAACCTCTTCTGATTGCAGGTCTCAGAAACTCATTAAAACCAGCCCATGTAGTAAGGGGGTTTTTCCAGAACCCAAGCGCAGCTGGGCCTCACAAGGATTGGGACCGAGGTGGTTGTGACTTAATAGTTTAAGCCATTGTTTACAATACACCAGAAACTATTACTTGCAACTATTTTAACTTACAATGAAAAGTTTTAGTTGTTAAACTAACATGCAAAAGGATAGGCATAGATTTTCAAAATTCTTTAGGGTACATAAGAGCCAGAAAGGTTGCAAATGGCTACTTTACCGTTCTTTCAAAGAAGTGCCCACTTAGCTGCCGCCTGTCTTCTCTGTCAGCGGATGCCTCTTCAGGTTCTCACTACCTTCCTTCTCCTTCCTGGCCCCCCATACAGTGTGACTCTGGTGTGAAGCTGTCAGTGTCAGGGTGGGAGTGACTGTTGTAACACTGGCTGGCTTTCTTTGATTTATATACTTTTTCTCTTATGAGTGTGGCTCTGGGAGGGCTGCCTGGCTTTCTGGCTCATTGATGTTTAATAGCTGGAGGATACACCAGGGGCAATAGTGATTGATTGCTTAGAAATTCTGATCCTATCTGGTCCCATGATTTAATACATTTATTTGACATTTGACTGCACATATCCTGGGTTGGATCTGTCTATCACTAAAGAGTGCCCATGGCGGGTTGGTTGAGAAGTGGGGTACTGTCCTTAGTGCTTCTCTCACAGATTCATTGGTTGTCATCCTTGGTTTTCTAGGGCCCCCTCTGACCCATGGTCATCAAGGAGTTCCACTAATGCTCTGCTGCTTTCAGATATTTAGTTTGCAAAAACATACTACCAGGTGCCAGGGACTCAAAGGTGAATCAGATACCTTTGCCTTTGTAAGCAAGCACTCTATTTCAAAATTAAATATTTTTAAATATTAAAGTTAAAAAATTATTTTTAGGTCCTTTTTAGGGTATCTCTCATCTCTTAGGGTTAGTAAACCATTTGGCTAAGAGACTTTCTTTTTATGGAGGAATTCCACTGTTAGCCCTCGCTCTTCCCATTGGGGAGCTCCTTGGGACTGGTGAGGTTTGGTTACCTTAGGACAGGCTGCCCCTGGGTGGATGCAGGTCGGGGGGCCTGGCGGTGGCTTTTCTTCTAGGAAACATGTTGCACGTTGGTTGTAGTGGGTCAGCCCTCATAGTTGTGAGGGCAGCATTAGCTGACCTTGCTCTCATTACATGAACAGAGCAACTGGGGTGGCTCAGCCACCTCCCAAGGTAGTATTGGAGTGGATGGTCATTTGCAGTCCCCTCTGCCACCAGCAGCCTGTCACTTGCATAAGCCTGCATCAGGAATCCTGGCCTTGGTGTAGCTCCAGGTGCACAGGTGCTGCTGCTGCAGGATGTCTTGGGGTGGGTGCATTGAGACCAGATGCTGCTTGTTGCTCAGTCTGGAGTCTGTTAGAACTGATTTCCAAGGAAGCTGCTGCAAGATACTAATCGGAATGGTTAAGCAGAGTGGCTGCGAATAGCATTCTTTAGATAATACTTTTTCCTCGAGTGCTAACACAGCTCTCCTGGGACATCATGCCTTTTCTTGTCCTGACCTTGTCTATGACACAGAGCTTTGTCGTGGTCACATGGCTGTACCACAGGGCCAAAGTACAGGACCTTCACACTACCCAACATGTACTAGCTAGATTGGACTCTGTCAACTCCCAGTATCACATTCTGATGGAAGTTGGCTGAAGCTGCCCTAGGCTGTGAGAAATGGTGGGGTAGCCTCCCAGTCAGCAGGAAAAAAGTTTTAGAAAGAAGCAGAAACTCACTGCAAAAGGGCCTTGGTAATGGCTACAAAGTACAACTGACAAAAGCTGGGACCTTGGTTTTCAAAGACAGAAGAGTGAGGCAGGTACCTGGGGCCTGGGTGAAGTGCCAGAAGTCAGCTTAGAAAATAGGGGTGTTTCCTGAGGGTACCTAGCCAGGCAGGAATGCTGAGCTACGGCTCTTCACACATTTCAGTGCTGCAAAGGAGTGGGAGAGAAGCGAGAAAAAGGCAGGTAGGCAAGAGTAGAGTGGAGGGGCTTGGGCAGGGGTCTGCCAGCCCCAGGGCCCACTCGATCTGGTTGTACCATGCTTCTGCTGAAGTTGTTGGGAGTGGAGCCCAAGCCCAGGACTATGGGAAAATCCAAGGAAGGAGGTGGCTTGGTTGCCCAGCTCAGCCCGGGCCCCTCTCTTAAGGGTGGCCCCATACGGGCTAAGGAAGTTCCTGGCCACTGGAGAGGGTGGGGGAAAGATGGAAAATGTTCCAGAATGGGTAATACCTGTCCTAACCCATCTTCCCCTCCCCCACCACCCCCCTCCTTAGGCCACAAACCCCCACGTTAGACAGCGGGTTCATTTGAAAATTGAGTTGCAGCTGGATGAGTTGAGGGTAACTTCAAAGTTCAGTGGTGTTTAATTAAAGCCATCCAGAGACTGAAGCTGCTCTCGGGAAATTATTCTGACCGATTAATGAAAGAGAATGAAGGTTAGATTTGTGTTTCGGGCTAAGTCTGTGTTGCATTCTGCATCTCTGAAACATGAATTCCATTAACCTTTCGTGAACCAACAGTAAATTACTTTCAGTTAGTTGTCATTCTAATTAGAGTCACACAGGAGAGCCTTTGTTTATACTTGGTGTCTGTTCCCTTTTCTGCTGGATTCATGTCCTCTTGAAGCAGCAGTCATTTGGAAAATCGGCTTATACCTGTGTGTGTCTGCCCATGCCTCCCTTGGTCGACCCTGTTCACTGAGCATCCGAAAGTGCTGTGCCAGAGGAAGTAGGCCCCAACTGCAGCAGGAGGATGGGGTAAGCAGTCACTGCTGGTGGCTTGAGTGGGGCACATAACTTGCAAAAACATGTCCTTTGGCCACGGGAGATAAAGCTAAGGAATAATCAGCTACCCAGCCCAGGCCAGCGTGGACCAGTCTTGGGGGAGGTCTTGGGGAGCTGAGGTAAGGCATAGTCTTCCAGGAGGGCCTTGTGGGACAGGTGGTGAGTGTGCTGCCCTTGTGATACCATGACCTAGATGTCCCTGAGCCTTATGCCTTGGGAGTGGGTGGCCTGCCTTCTGTTGAGTGCTAGAGGGTGGCCACAGAATCCATTATTTTGGTTCTTTTGAACCCATGGCCAATATGGAGGACACACTGGGAGGGAAAAGACTCAAGGCACTGGAGTAGGTAAGAATGGCTCTAAGAGTTCAGTTGAGAGAGAATGAGGGCCTGGGGGGCGGGGGCAGTGGCCTGGAGAGAGGTGAATCCCAGGGATGGTAAAAGGCAGAATGAACAGAGTTTGACAGTTAGCTGAACATCGCAGGTAAGGGTATAAAAGGTTTCTGGGAGTGACTCGGCTTGGCTTCTGGGTGAGCAGAGGGGTAAACAGGGCAGGACATGTTTTGTTGGTTCTGCTACCCTTCAGAAGAAAGACGGAAGGAAGATAGCAAAGAAGGAAAGGAAGGAGGGAGGCTGAAGGAAGGATAGGACAGGCTTTTCAGGAAAGAGGGTCACGACCAGTGCCACTCATTCCCAGAGGCCAAGCCACTGGGCTAGCTCCATAGAGTGGCACGGACATGGGCTGTGCCCTTGGAGGCTGCCCCGTCAGCCCTCCCGTGTTCACTAGTGTGTTGTATCCCTAGTGCTGCTGAAGGAGTGGCATAGAACGGACCCTAACATTGAATGAGAACAGGGAGGAGTGAAGATCCTCAGGTCAAGGACATACCAGAGAAATCGCCCATGCTTTGTCCATAGCTCCCAACAGTGCCAATGGCGACACTGGTTTCCTGAGTGCCCTCCCAGACAAATCCCTGTGTTAAACTTTGATCATGTTTAATAAAAAAATGTAATTAACTACTATAATTTAAAAGAACTTCCTTCTATTTTAATGTGAGGGTTTCCCATAGAAACCACTTCAGCTTTGGCTGCTGTGAATGGCAGCTTTATTAATGGAGCCATCTGCAGGCTTTCCTCACCATTTGTCGCACTGCTCATTGCTTCCAGAGCAAACATTGTTTATTGTGGTGGAGGCTCCAGTCAGTCATCTGGAGGGGCAGCCTTTCCTGCACCCTGATGCAGGGACAGCTAATCTCTCATGTTCCTTGAATGCTGGGCCTTCACAGAGCAGGGGCAGGCAGAGCCCATGAGCTCACCAGGTGTCACCCCTGTGGATCAAATGCTCTTAGTGAGCAAGGCCCTTATTCTCGTCTTCAGACTGAGACCAGGGAGATGGGGCCTTGGGACAGCACAGTTAGTACCAGAGCCCACAGTGAAAAACGCCTTTTCCGTTGCAGCCCTGAGTTCATGTCAGATTCCTCACTTGTCCCCCAGGAAGGCTGACCCGTCATCAGGTGGGAAAGGGGTTGGGTCTCATGGATGCTCCAGGGTCCCCCGAGGGCCTGAGTCCCAACACGTCTTCCAAAAGAGAGGACTCTTGGCTCAGCTCAGGATCAATTCATCTTCTAAATGGAAATGTCAAAGCCTGGCAAACAGTAGGCCACGCAAAAATAGATTTTGCCAATGAATCCCGAGCCTGTCACTCTCTCGGGAGAAAGCCTGATCACCTGATCTCAGCTCTGCAGCAATTCACGAGGGCCCTGCTAGTGTTCTTTTTCTTGTCGTTTTATGAATTCTGAGTAAGGGAAGGCTTCTGGAGGTTCCAAGAAAGGGAGCAAGTACCACTGACCCTCCAGTCAGACAGAAAGGTAAATAGGAGGGAGAAGGGGACAGTGCCCAAGCAAAGGGGGAGGACACCAAGAGGCCGTCAGGTACCTCTCAGCAGGGTGTGAACCAGCAGGTGGGTTCTCAGTGCCTCCAGGCTGTCCTTTGCCCGGCTACCCCTGCATAGTGACATCCTCTCCCCTCTACCGTCCCCTGGCAATCACTAGTCTGTTCTCTATAGTTCTGTCATTTGAGAATGTTATATCAGTGTTTGAAATATACAGTTGGTAAACTTTCAAGATTGACTTTTTATACCATGTATAATGCCCTGAGCTCTATATAACAATAGTTTGCATATATCAGTAGTTTGTTTTTACTAAGTAGTATTCCATTGTATGGGTTCTTCACTGTTTTTTAAATATAAAAATTTAACCTTTTGGATGTTATCTATTATAGGATTTAAGCAGTGGATAGGTGGTTTCAATAGATGACCAATCCAAGATTCCTTAATAGGAATATTTACTTTTCACATTTCAAACCATACGATGTTTATAGCATCAAGTGATAATTTTCTAATTTTGCCGGAAATTAGAAAGGTTGTCTTTCCCACCTTTCCAGGTTCCATGCTCCATGAAAGCAGGGGCTGTATCTTTGTCATCACTGGATCCCCTGGTGGGCCCAGCAGTTCCTTGCATGAGGTAGGTCTGCATATATCTGGTCAATAGGTGACTCACTCCCCGGGACTCAGACTGGCTGCCACTTTGAAAGGTGGCAGCACAGTACATTTTTACTGTAGAGACTGAAGTCTACATAAGGAAGAGGACCTGAGCTGCGTAACATAACATGTGGGAAGTTGAGATGGAGTTCTGCAGTTGATCTGGTGAGAATGTCAGCTTGTTGCCTTGCTTACAACCAGGTTTCCAAGTCAGCCCCAGCCAGTGTCGCCTAAATGGACATCCCTGCGCAGAAGCGGGCTCCAGTACCCTGTGACCTTCCCCAGCATGCGTTCTGGCTCAGTGGCTGCGTGAACATCAGGTATGAGGGCTTTGCTTTTTATTAAGAAGTTATTTTTCCTCCCGGAGGCCATTTCTTTTAGCAACCCCTTTGTTTTCAGTTCCTTTGGAGAGATTTGGTGAAAGTAAATTCCGCCTGGAGTTGTCGTATAGTCCCGCAGAGATGTCATCAGCACCAGCACTTGCCCATATTCATCTCTGTCCATGGACGGCTCCCTAGTGAAATCTATTTTTAGGACTGTGTTTATGTTTTTGAAGGAGAAGAGATGCAAGATCAAAGCCCTGGGGCCTAGCATGGGGCCGGCGGAACCTCCAGGCTTGCCGCGGGGAGTGAGGTGGGCAATGAGGCAAAGCGGGAAAAGCACTCGGCCTGACAGAAAGAAGCTGCCATGCTTCTTTGGTGAAATGGAAATTGCTCAAAGGTTGGAAAACAAGGAAGCAGTGTCTCCGTACAGACAGGTGTAAATTGAACAGCAGGGACTGAGTCCTCCTGTGCTGTAAGTGTGGCCAACGAAGGCAGGAAGGCAGCTAGTGAGTGGCAGCAGGTGTCAGAGCCCGGAGGCCCCTCTGCTGTGCCCTGGTTGTAGGGGTGGGAGAGGGGACCTGTACACGAGTAGGGTCCCTTCAACCTTGTGACTGTTCAGAGCCCAGAGCTGCCCTTTCCCAAGCCTGATCGCTTCCGATACTTCTTTATGCTGGTCTTAAATGCTTCCTACCAGAAGCTGAACCCATTTCCTTCTTTCTTGTAACCACCACTAGATTACTGTCCTGTGGTGACCGTCCTAGTGCACTAGGACAGCATGGTGGCAAGCGACAGCTCTGGAGGCAGGACCCGGCTTCCCAGGTCACGTTTCCTTCTCTGTGGAGATCATCAACGTAGGATTATGAAGACTGAATGAATTAATGCACGGAGAGCACTCGGCATTAGCTGTGATCATTGAATAGCGTTCAGTGATAAGGATGCGCCATGTTTTAATCATTGAGCACTTTTTTTTGTTTTTGCCCATTTCTTTGTTTTTGCCCTTTGCGATATGGAAGTGGTACTCAAGTTTTTCTGCCAGACTTCTGGATTGGCAAATTTAAAAAAGAGAACCTGACAAAAATGTAAGCCATAGTCTTCTGAGGACGCCACCCACGGGCACAGAAATGAAACAAGCTGACATTTCCAGGAGATAGTGACACTTTCTTTTCCATTTGGGATTATATCTCTTTTTATTCCTTTATTTTCTTTATCCTAGAGCATGTAAGGTTATTGTACAGGTCTGTTAATGAGAGCAGAGTAGAAATTCAGGTTTCCTTTGGAGAAGGTGAACTGATTAGCACAAAAGGTATAAATTACCTGAGATCCTGTGAGAGTGGGAGCTTCCCCTTTACATACGGCTGCATCTATTTTGGGGGGGGAATACCGGAAGACCTTTCTATGCTCCCTGGAGACTCTTCCTGGGCATCCGAGACAAAGTAGGCTTCTCCTGCTGGGCCCGGTGTCTGACAGACATGCAGCAACCCCACCTACTCCTGGACTGAGGCTCGACAGACACAGGCCCTGTTCTCTATCCGTTACCTTCCCAAAATTTCTGTGACCTTTACCTCACCCTTCCCTGCTTGTTTCTGTTTCTAAAGGATGTCTTTCTCCCAGTTTAAGTGGAAGAAGAGTGAGCTTTGAAGTTATAAAACAAGAAGTCCCGGCACGGCCCTTATCTAGCTAAACGAACATGGGCCAATTACTAAATCTCTCCAAGCCATCTCCTTGCCTACAGGGTAACTACCACTCCCCACATCAGTCAAGGAGAGCCAGGGTGCCGGGCCGGCTTGGCCGCTCGGGCTCCTCCAGCGGTGGTTCTTGACCCAGGTCCTGTGTAGCTGCTCCTCAGCCTGTCGTCTTTGTCCTAAAGCATGTTCTTCACTCCTCTTTCAGTTCCAGCTTTAAAATGGAAACCTAGTTTCTTCTAGAAGTTATACCAACACCTCAGTATGTCCAAAATGTAACTCATTATTTCCCCATAAACAAGATTTTTAGATTTCCTTCTTTATTCAGAGTAAAAATCACATCAAGTGGGTCTATTCTGGTGCCCACCAGCCTTTCTGTCTCGGAACTGAAGGAAATCCCTGCCCCAGGACAGCGTCTCGGGTTGGTCAGTATAGGCGTCCCTCGGAGGAACCGCACGTTTGGTTCCAGGTCACTGCAATAAAGCAAGTCACACTAGGTTTTTGGTTTCCCAGTGCATGTAAAAGTTATGATTACACTATAGTCTGTTACGTGTACAATAGCAATACGTATTAAAAACACACCTATGTACCTACCTTAATTAAAAAATACCTCTTTGCTAAAAAATGCTAACCATTGTCTGAACCTGTTGGAAAACTGCACTGATAGACCTGCTTGGTGCAGGGCCGCCAAACCTTCCTTTCCATTTGTAAAAACAGAAAACCAAACCAAACCAAACCCATTTGCGAAGTGCAGTAAAGCGAGGTAGGTACGCCTTCCATGTGAGCGGCTGTCTCAGTCACCAAAGGTGAGTGAGGTAGTGGAGAATACCCAGCACCTTCCATGGTTGTGGAGCTGGGGAATGCAGGAATACTCTCAATCTAATTCTTCATAAAGAAAAATTTGTAGCAGCCAGTTCATGTTGTGGGGTACACAAGATCCCTGTCACTAAGCAACAAGGGAGAGATGGGGAAAGCAGGGGATACAGGGACCTACTGAGTTCCCGGGTTTCACAAAGGCTAACACCGGGGAGGCAGTGGAGTCAGGATCACTGGGATTACCCAACATTAAACATTAGAGAAAGTATAGACGTGAAATAAATTAAAATGAAGCTATTTCCCTATTAAGTGGAAGCATAAATCCGAAGTAATTTCCTCTAACATGAGACGGAGTTTGTTACTACCAGAATGGGTGTATCTATAACAGCAACCGTGGTCAACTGGTAACTGTCATGTTTTCTAACAGGCGTCATGGGGACTAGCAGTGTAAGTGAGGAAAGAGGCAGGCACATTTAGAGAGACAAATGGAACATTCTGATTATTTTATTTTTTAATATTCAGAATTTTCTGCCATGAGACAGGAATGCATGATAGAAATGGCTCAACATCTTCACATGAAACACTTGGATTCATTTTCATTCACAAGTTTTTCTAAAAACATCTACAATTTCATAATCCCACCCACTTCCAACTATTATCACAGATTTGATTGACTGTTAAACAGTAGTTGCCAGCAAGAGCTGGAACGCTTTCTGCGTATTAGTAGTGTCTTAAAACTACCACCCAAGAGTATCACGATTATAAATCTCATTGTACAGCAACCCCAAAGGTGACCGATGTCCCCACATAAACTCCCTGGTAATCGCGGAGAGCTGGAAGAAATGCTTTTTCTACTCTTAGAACTACTCGTTCATCTCATAGCATTTTGCTTGCAGGGAATAGCACATGCTGACCTGATAATTTAGTCACCAATGCTAAATGGCAAATATATATGCCTGACACTTACTGATGCTCTCTGATAATTATGTACAGAACACACTGAAAAAAAGATGGGTTGCTTGGAATCTATATCTCTTCTCTTGAAGAGAACTACTTTGAGGTTTTTTTTGAACATTTGTAAACAAAAGGAAAGAGATATACACAGACATGTATCTATACACTTAGAGATATACATTGAGTATTTTCAATGTGGCGTGTATCTGCTTATATAGAGATACACACACAGAGTGTCTACACTCACCCCTTCACACATACCCACACTCTTACATACAGCATNGCAGAGTAAGTGTCTACACTCACCCCTTCACACATACCCACACTCTTACATACAGCATGTGAATATAAATGTTGTGAGTGTCCTTGGGAGTTCACTGGAGTTTGTATATTACCAAATGATGATGAAATACCTGATCTGTATTACTCCTGAGAAGATACTAGAAGGGAATGACAGTTCTGATGCACTTTGGAATGGCACAATCACGTAAACACTTGCATACTTAAGACTTCTGAACTCATCCAAAGTTTCTAAACACAATCTAACCAAAAAAAAAAAAAAAAAGATATCAAAACAATGCAGCAAGTTAAAAAATAAAACAAAGTTTTTTTTATAATCCAAGTATAAACAAACATATAGGAAATGCATAGTTTGTCAGTAAAGTAGGAAATACATACTTAAGAAAAACGTCATCTGACAAAACTTAAAAAAAAAACAACCACCACCAAAAACTACTATCCAATGCATAATAATACATGCATTGCCCAAACTAGCAAAGGATAACCACATTAGAATTGCAAGGCTTATAGCAACTCCACCAGAGAAAAATTACCATATATAGCAAGTCATGTAAAGTACGCAACTTATAAAAAGAATTACTAGGACTGTTATTCATACTTCTGTAAAAAAGAATTTGCAGTTTGCTGAGTATCTTACCCCTCAATATAATTAATCTGTATAAAAATTACAACTAGGCCAATGAACTTCAAGCACCAATTCAATCATTTAAACTTACTGTATTTATATTTCTCCTATTACCGAGGAAACAAATTATGCTGACGGCTAAGTTAAAATTAGCCTAGTAATTATTACAGTTTAGTTTTATAGGCATGCGGTTTCTTTTTTTCCTTCCATTCCCACAAATGCCAAACATTTAAAAATGTTCAGGCCAGTAAAGGATTCCTTGGAGGAATCCATTATTTCTGAGTATCAATGGTTTCATATACATTAAAAGCTCTGTAACAAACCACTGCTTTCTTAGTTCTAAGATAAAATAGATTTGCACACAAGAAATTAAGAGACTGCTCCTCGCTATGACTTAGAAAAGGCAGCACCTGTATAGTAGACTCGCAAGCACACCTGGACATCTACCGGCAGTGCCGGAAATGGCGTTGTTATTCAAGAAGGCAACTCCACTGCCTGTGGCAATACTGAGTTTTTCCTAACAAAAATTTCCACTACACATTTGGTATGGGAGGATATCTCAGTAGGGAGTTTTTTTTCTTTTTCTGATTTCTTTTTCTGCATCAGGAAAATAGCACAGTCTGAGCCAGCAGATGAGTAACAGTATTTGTGATGCCTCTGGTTGAAGAAAACATGTTCAGATAACAAGGGGTTTGTTTTAAATCAACACAACTGCTGTTTTTGCTTCCAGTATTTACATCATACCACTTACATATGCAGTAATTTCTGAGACATAATGTTTCAGAACATGAAGTTTCCTACTATTAAGTTTGGTTAATCTGCAACACACACCAAAATGAACCTTTTGGTCGGCTGCATCTGATTGACTGAAGGTAAGACTATTGAAGAAAACAGATCACATGGAAACCAAAATCTTGGTCAATAGTGATTCTCCATCACTTCCCAGCCTGTTACCTGAACTCTACCTCAAGACCACACGCACTCAAGCCCCGGTGTTAGGACAGAGGCGGAGGGTCTTGCTGGTCCTCAGTAAAAGCGCCTTGACTCTGCTCCTTGCTCATCTCATCAGACGGCTCTTCACAAACAGGCTCACCGAGGTCTTCGCTGCCCCCTTCGCTCTGCTCCTCACTGTGGTCTTCGCTGGGCTCGGCCGTCTGTTCCAGGCTGTTCTCCAGAAGAGTGGGAGAGCTGCTTATTCTGCCTTCAGCTGTCTCATTTAAGGGCTGGGAAGGAGGTGGTGTGGGAGTGTCAGATTGCACAAAGCTTTCGCCGGGAGAGATGGGGGCTTTGGTTGTAGTAGTATCCGCTACAATCTCGTTTTGAGGCAAAGACAACTTTTCCACAAGTTTCCACTGAATGATGCTCATGTCTTTTCCACCAGTTGAAATCAGGTGACTGTCATTATGAGTGAAACTGACGTTGGTGACATGGCTGCTGTGGGCACTGTACTTGTGACTGGGAGCCTATATGAAATAAATCAGACAGGAAAATCAAACTCATTCTTACATGTCTGCTGCAGCAATGGAGGTGACGAGGTAAGGGGGTAATTCAGCTTGTAAAACAGGTAATTAAAATTAAAGCCACAAAAGTCATCAAATCTGAGACTAAAGCTAGCAGTAATCTCCTTTTAACACCTATTTGTATGGAGAAACAAAGCATAATAATTAGACATCTTATTTTAAAAAAATACAAGTCCATCTCTTCTGGGTATCAGTAACTATTCTATTGGATGGCCAGGGAAGAATTTACCGGGTTGGCAGGAGTACAGGCGATTTAGGAAACAGTTTCATGAGTTTTATAATGCTGATCATATGTGTAACAAAATATTTAGTTTGTTTAGGAGGATTTTAAACCTCCAAAATATAAAAATAAACAAATGGACAGTAAACAAAATGAGTAAGACATCATCAGCTTCCTTCTGTATCTACCTTTTCCTTGACCTTGCTGAGGAAAGAGAATGTAAGCAATGCCTGCTCGGACGCTTCCCGGTGGCCCTGTTCTCCCCGTGAGTCACAGTATGATGGATGGTAATTAGTAACCCTACAAATATTTTCGTACCATTGATACAAAATGTTCCCCAAACAAAAGGCCCCATAATGCTAATTTTTATTAAATTGATTTTACCTTTGCTTTGGAGCAGGGATACTGAAACAGATGGACTTTGCAAAAGTCATCAGCAACAGCTATCACCTTCCTATTGTGGGATCGCACCAGTGCATTGATATCTGTCCCATCAGATCCTTCTGGCCAGACACCTTTGATATGGGAACATAGGGGTGCAGAATTAGCCTGAAAAATATAACTGCGAAGCTACATAGGTTTATCTAATTTTAGAATCTTATTAATTTTCACCTGTGTTCCAACTCTTAGCTGCTAACATTTTCCCTTAAAATTTCTTAGTGGCTCAACACTTCAATCAAATGAAGTTTTACCCAAAGTCTAACTAATAATAAAATTATAAATCAAAATAGCCTTAAGATGGAAAACTGAAGGACCCAAGAGTACTCACCAGTAACCACCAGGTGGTGCTAAAATAATTTGTTTTAAGCTTCTCACCTGAGCAACAAGCTCTTTGTTTTTCAAGTTTCTAGCTAGGGGGGAAGTTCTCAGTGACCCCCACAACAAGGTGCAGAAACAAAGCCGTAGCAGTAATTCTTCAAAGTGGACTCTGGGTACGAGCAGTAACATTTACATCCTCTCTCACTGCTCCCGTTCAGGCAGGCACTTCAAAGAAAACCTCACAAAGAATCTACCTGCTATCCCATAGAATTTTCTTGTAACTATTATTTATGTCCAAAGATAAGATATAGCATATTTAATTATTCTGAATCATTATGAGGCATTGGTGGTTATGTTCAACATAGCTGGCATAAAATTCTATTAGACTAGATTAAAACTATGGAATATATAGGGTTGAGATGCTGGCCTCCTGTGGTTCAGTGTTCCTCTAGAGAACAATTACGTTTTTGGTAAAACAAACATTTCTGAACGGACATCTCTTAGTACGTATTGTATATTGCTTCATTAAAATAACTAGGTAATTTATTTGGCCACTGCCTTAGTTTCACCCAGAATAATGAAACTGTTTATGGACCAGTCAGGGTTATTTTGTTTTTAATTTCTTCCTAGCCTAGTAGGCTTCTCCATCTCTATAGCAGTTGTGTTTAGAACAAGCACCTACAATGGATTATTTTTCTAATGCACACAACATAAAGAAATGTTCAGCTTGGCCGGCGTGGCTCAGCGGTTGAGCACTGACCTAGGATCCAGGACACTGAAGTTCGATTCCCAGTCAGGGCACATGCCCGCGTTGCGGACTCGATCCCCTGTGCGGGGCATGCAGGGGGCAGCCGATCAATAATGTTTTTCTCTCTCTCCCTCTCCCTTAAATCAATAAAGACAGATTAAAAAAAAAAGTTTAGACTTATACTTAGGCTATAGGCAAGAGCCCAGTTTTCAGAAGGCAGAGGTGTGTTGTTAAAGGAAAGCACTAATATTTGAGGTACTGCTTCAGGTACTGGTGCCATATCCTTTTCATCATTCTATTTACCGAGTATAACATTCTAATTCTTTGCAAAGACGGCTTTATTATTTTAACTTTTCCATTTTAACTTTTCCATTTACCCTCTACCTTTCAGAAGGATACCTACAGACGGGAAAGGCTTAGTGAGAAAACTGCAGGAGAGGACAGATTTCTAGAAATGTCTAAAACATCAGATAAGGCTCCCCAAATTTTATCTTTAAATACTATCTACTAAAAGTGCCTTTTTATTTCAGCAAATGGTGTTCGGACAACTGGACATTCACATGCAAAAGACTAACAATAACAACTGCTGGCAAGAATGTGGAGAAACCGAGCCCTCCTACACTGCTGGTGGGAATGTAAATGGTGCAGACACGTTGGGAAACAGCCTGGCAGTTCCTCAAAAAGTTAAACAGCTATCATTTGACCTTGCAATTCCACTTCTAGGTGTATACCCAAGAGAAATGAAAACATGCTTACACAAAAACTTGCACATGCTTGTTCACAGCAACATTACTTATAACAGCTGAAAAGTGGAAACAACTCAAGTGTCCATCAACTGATGAATGGAAAAACAAAATGTGGCAAATGTGGTGTCACCACACGATGGGTATTACTCAGCCATAAAAGGAAGTACTGATCCACGCTATGGCATGGATGACACTTGAAAATATGCTCAATGAAAAACGCCAATTTCAGTGGATCACGTATTACATGGTTCCATTTATAAGAACTATCCAGAAGAGACCAATCTCTTAGATAAGAAGTATATAGACTTTAGTGGTTGCTAGGGGGTGGAGGGTTTCTTGCTGGGGTGCTGAAAACATTCTAAAATTAGTGATAATGGAAGCACAACTGTGAATATAATAAAACCAATAAATTGTGCACTTTAGGTGAATTAATATGATATGTGAATGATACCTCAATAAAGCTGTCTTAAAAATGCCTTTACAAATTTAAAAGTTTCAATTTTCACTTAGAGGGGAAAAAAATGGACAGGCAATCTATGCTATTATGTAAATCCCTTTTTCTTATTTATTAGGGGTCAAAAGTCTGGATTCTGCAGAGAACAAACCTTGTATGGTTTAATTTCTCTGAATCTGGCATTGATAGTGATAACACTAAAGAACACATGTAGACTATTTCATTTAGGAATTTAGGCAAATAATTATTGTCTATAAAACCCCACAGCCGTTTCCCATCAGGTACCATGTCCTTACCAAAGACTTGAAAGCCTAGTACACAGGTGTATGTCGTCCAATCGATGTCCTTACACTTCGATCGATTCCTGATTAGTTTGCAGACACTTGGAATGTCCCCTTTAAATTTAGAAACAGGAAGTATAATCATAGTGCTTGTGTATAAATGCATTTGAAAGTGCATCTTGATTCAAACTAGCCACGTTTACTTGTATTTATAATCCATACACTGAAAAACATTAAGACACATTTAAAAAGGAAAAGAAAATGTTTACTTTAACAGGGCTTATGGATCTACAGATTGTTTCCCACTGGGTTCTTCCCGTTCTGTTTTTCTTTAAAAAGCGTAAGTGCCCATCCATTATACTTCTTCCTGTCTCTAGGAAGAGCCGTTAAATACAAAAACATTCAAAGCAGCATCAATCTCCGAGTTAATTTCTTATGACTACACGTCTGCACATTTAAATTAACTCATTACTTTCTTGGAGTGAAGCACATTTCAGATTCTCATGCCTTAGCTCAGAGTAACACATGCTGTCAGGTCCGAGGGCCAACACGCATCTCCGCACATTCAGACCGCACACAGCTGCTCACGAGAGCCCGGCCGACAGCCGTGCGTGACCGTTCACACTTACAGTACAGGATTTCGTAGTCTCCCGAGTTAGACATTATGTACTTGTTGTCTGGAGACCAGTCAAGGTGCGTGATGTAGCTGGAATGTCCCTAGGAAACAACAGAGACCACGTATTAGGAAGCATTTGGAGTTTTGAGTAGTCTGTAGGCCAATACTGTTTCCTGAGTAGCCATCCCTTGGAATTCCTCATGCAGAGAGCAGGATCACGGCCTGCAGAGCTCAGCAGGGCTCACAGCAGCTGAAGAGGCCCTTTTGCTCCACCTTGTTGGGAGCAAAGCCGCAGGTGTGCGAAGATGCCAGCGATACAGGGAGAGTCTGGGCAGAACTCAAGCTACAGGTCTCACCNCTTCAGGCCCTTTTGCTCCACCTTGTTGGGAGCAAAGCCGCAGGTGTGCGAAGATGCCAGCGATACAGGGAGAGTCTGGGCAGAACTCAAGCTACAGGTCTCACCACAGTGGAAATGGTAAGAACTTGGAACCGGGGAGCATCCTGTCGGCCTCTCCACTTAAGATACCAGCAACAGGCACCTACTCTCTCTCTGTGTTAGAGTCTTCAGAGAGAGACAGTTTGGTAAACTCGTGCCTGAAGGACGCTGTGACAGGCACCATGCCCTCAGGCCATACTTCAGATCACTGGTGTCCCTGCTAGAGTTACTTCATTTCTGAGAATGAAGTGTTGGTTCCAGGTTGCTCAGAGAGTACCATTTTCCTGGGCTGCTGCTTGAGTATCCAAAGTACACGCCAGAGGCTGTGGAATATGGCACACATGCAACAGCCACACGGAGGCCTCCCAGGAAAACTACCTCCAAAGAATATTCCGGAAGAGTCACCCAACACTGTACTCCTTCAGAACAGTGAGACCCAATATAATCACCTGACTCCTTCAAATACTCCTTAAACAGGAAGACGGATCTTTTTCTGCTTACGTTTACTACCGTGGGAACTGAAAAACTCCTAAGTGCTAAATTTTGTTGGTACCATATGTAAGTTGATTTCCAATAAACTATTTCAGATAAATCACATAGGTCTTCTCGGTTTACCAAAGTTGATGGAGACGCAAAATCACTTTCCATCTCCTACAGTCTGTGATAAAGCATACTTAATTTCTAATGTACTTTTTAAATTACTAGCTTTCTAGTGCACATGGTTTTTTAAGTTAAATTCAAAATACCTTAGGTGTAGTTTTTAATGATTTATACAAAGTATTCTAATTATTCTATTACCCTTCTGAATTCTAACATCTCCTAAAACCTCTGTGGAGCTATGATCTCCCTCACAGTGCTGCACGGCAAATATATATATTTATACATTTAAATAAATTTAAATTATATGAATTTGAAAACTGAAACTTCCTGAAGGAGTTTAGGTGGTACGCTGGAAACAGGCTGGGAATCACTTGCTAGTCACACAGGCCCACCAACTTAGCAAGAAATCCGTTTTCAAAGCCAGAAAGACACATGTGGTTACTGGATATTTTTTTACTACAGCAGGAGGCCGGGGTTCACACAAACCCCTTCACAGTTCACATGAATCTGATGCCTGGCTCTGGCATCTGTAGAAGCCATGCTTTTAAGATGAGAAAACTTCTGCTACATGAGTGAAGGATTTAACCAGATTAGTCATGGCCAAGTACAGTTGTCCAAGAACTATTCATCCTAATGTAGAAGTATATAAAAATTATCTGAATCTCTGTGAAAAGCCTTTAATAGCATTACTTAGAAGATCAAAAGCATTGTATGTATACATAATATTCATGTAATTAACATCTGTGTTGGACACAAAACATATTTAGAAGGCAAATCAATGTTAAGTGTTCTCAAAAGACTCTTGAGTAGGAAAAGCAGCAAAGACCTTGGGGAAGTTACCAATTCATACTGGAAAATAAAGTATTTTTTCCCTGGTATGGATTCCAGCATCTAAATAAAGAAAAGATTAAACGTGGATACTGGGAGTCTATAATGCTACCTTCCCAGACACTACCTCAGTGCCCTTGCCCACCCAACCCACAGGCCATGGAAGGTACACGCCCGGTTACGGGAAATAGCCTCAGACAGCACCCCAAGGCCCGAGACACAGCTGGGCGCGAGACCTAGCACACCTCCCTAGAAAGGAACAGGGGAAGTGCTCTAAGCTGGCACCTTCATTACTGCCATTAAGCAGCTACACGATGTAACTACAATAATAGTGACAAGTGATGAAGCCCAAAATGGTGACTATGGACAAATCAGAAATATTTTAGCTAAATCTTTATCAACTGCACAGAGGATCATCTATGTCAGTGGCTGCAACCCTGGCTGTTTATTAAAAATACCTGGGGAGTTTTTAAAAAAGTACCAAGGCTCAGAGTTAGGGTTTTATTTTACTTAGCAGGTATCCAGGTGTCCCCTCACCTCTACGACAGGGCCGTCCCCTGAAGGCTCTGCAGTGAGGAAAATGTGTGGCTGGGTCGTCTAACGCAGCAGCAACTAGCCACGTAGCTTCTGAGTGCTCAGAATGTGGCCAGTGCTCCAGGGAGCTGGATGGTATTTAACTTCATACGCAGAAAGTGGTGTTCGTAGCTGCAACGCCAGGTAACGCGGGGAGAGGGCAGTTCATTCCTTCTCTAGTGATTTTAAATACCTCTTTTAGTACCTAGCAAATTTCCACATGAGCAGAGATCTGTTTCTGGATTCTCCTTTCTGTTCCATTAATCTATTTGCCTATTCCCAGCCAACTGTGATAGTTTCGTGGTATGTGGAAAATTTCAGATGAATTTCAGAACTACTTTATCAAACTCATAAATACCATGTTGAAAATCTACAAGCAAGCACATAAAATTTAGAGAATAATTCCCAGAGAAAGATATTTTTATCAAGTCTTTTAATCTAGAAACATGCTGTCTCTATTTTTTTAGTTGTTTGTCTTTCAGCCATGCTTCACTTAGCTTCCTGTGCTTTTCTTGCAACATTTATTTAAGGTTTTTAATGCTCTTGCAAATAGGATTTTTCTCCTCACTGCAGTTTTGATGTGCTTTTGCTGGTTTGAGACAAAGCTGATCTTTAGAGTTAGGCTGCTAGTTGCCTATTTAACCCACAGTCTGCCCTTTCCTTAAGTGCCCAGCAAAGACACTATTTCCCAAACTCTTCTGCACGTAGGATGGCAGAAGTCACTGAGTGGGGCTTCCAGGAAAGCTTTCACAGAACTGACAGGAGGAGGAGAGCCTTCTCCCCCTTGCTCTGTTTGTTTCTTTCTGCAACTGGGATGTGATGACTGGAGTCCCAGAAGCGTCTTATTTGAGGGTGATGGAGAGAAAGAAGAACCCTGAGTCCCTGATGGCTTCTTTCAAATGAGAACATATCCCTCATCTGTTTAAGTCACCAGGCACTGCAACAGAATTCCTGTTACAGTGACACTGAATCTTACGGCCTTGTTGAAATACTGCATCGGCTTTATGGATTACTTTCCTGGAGATTTCTAGGTAGACAGTTAAAAAATCTTTTACCCTTCTTTTTTGATGTGTATCTTCAGTTACCAAAATCCTGGTAAAAAGAACACTTATTTTTACCAGCACTTCTTGCCTATCCTAACAGACTTTGTAATACTTTCAACTTTTAGCACATCGCTGCAACTTTGACGCTGCATCTCCTAGGTGAGGGTCTCTGAGCAGCAGTGTCACAGGGCACGCAGGAATCTGGGTCAAACAGAAAGCCACTATGCTGCACTGAGGTGCACAATAAAATAATCTATTCTGTTGCACACAGAATGGAGCCTTCAGGTCAATCAGGACAACTAAACTCTTTTAAACAAAATACACAACTGTCCATAATTAGAAAAGAATTTTGAACTTTCATAGATTTATAGTAAATTTGTGTTAAAAACACTCCTACGTACAACCCAGGGCTCGAGTTACTGAGAATAATGCTACTGCTACTGCTAATAACACACGACATTTGCTGAGTGCTTTCTGTGCATGGGGCATTAACTTTAAGTTCCTTACACACATTATCAACTCTGAACTTCACAGCAACCTTCACTGAGGCTGCCCACTTAGTAGGTAGAGAAGTTTAGGGGCAGAGTTCAAACCCAGGTCAGGTGGCTCTGGATCAAATTAAACCCCGCACTGAAATCATGCTTCTCTCTCATTTCTGTAACACTGAAGATGAGCAGAAAGAAATGTAAAAGGAGCGTTTAAAAAAAGGAATTTATAAGTAATTAAGGACCTTTTCAGTACATTTTCAAAACAGTACAGGAAAGAAACACTGTACAGGAGGCAACGGAACTAAACCCTAACAATACTCTAACTGCACAAGACTCAGGGGTCTTTGAGAAAACCAACCAGCAGTCTTTAAATTCTATTTAGCTCTAAAATCCTTATGCCATATTAAATTGTACTTGAGAAGGCCAGTAGGTAAAGCAAAATCAGATCCATGTCAGCCCCAGCCCCAAATCCTAGGGCTTTGCAGGAGACAAATTAAAAGGAGCTTCTGAATCCAAAGCCTTTAAAGGATTTCTATAGCAGCAGTTACAAAATCAAACTGCTTACACAGAGAATATATGATACTATCATGAACTCATGAATCCTATAATTTAGTCAAACCACTTTTAAAAATATTTACTAAACACTAAGAAGATGGAAGTTCTCATGGGAAGTGAAATAAAAAAGATCCTTCTAAATTACACGATCTAATATGAGGAACAAAATGCTACAGATGAGGCTGAGGAGTGAGTGTGCGCTGGAGGGAGATGCGGAGCCCGAAGGAGCAGGAAGACAGGGTGCTCCCAGGGCACACGCGGGACGTGAGGGCAGAGACAGGCCACAGGAGAGGAAGTGAGAGGCTGCCACGGAGGAACAGAACTTAGGGATGACTCCACTCACCTCTCTTACCCTCAACTCCTCAGCCAGCCCCGAGGGGCCAGGCTCACAAATTATTTCTTAGATGACCACTGGGGTTCCTTCCACGAGGTGGGCCAGGTTCAGTCACTCACAGTAAACAAACCGATGGGTGTGTTTGTGAGAAGGTATCATTTGCCACGTAACAGCAAGTACAAGAGCAGCTTCAGCAGAAAATATGTCCATTCGCTGGTCTTAGCCCAGATCTTTGAGGCAGCACATCTGAGAACTAATCTGTAAGAAGCAAGCTCTGAGCCATGCTCGACTGTCTTGTTTTTACTGCTTTCTTGGACAATGAAATTCATGCCTTTCCATGGAATCTGTGATCGGCATATTGCTATTTAACAAGCAATGTCTTAATGACTATAATCCAGTGACATAACGAGTGGCTAGACTAAAATACAGGCAGACAGAGCAAGCTAGTTAATGTCCATGGCAGAGAAAAAAGGCTCCTTGTTGGGACACTGGGCTATTTGCAGAAAGGGGTGCAAATGAAGCATCTTCCTCTCCCTGCTGTACTGCTCCAAAATCAGGACACTCCAACAACAGTGCTCTCAGCTAGACTCTACTAGCATATGCTGAGGTTTTCCAGAGTTCCAAGGATTGAACAGACACACATCAAAGTTTTAACTCACCCTGTGCCACTTTCAGAGATTACTTAGCTTATGCATGTACTTATACAGTAAGGTATCTGTATTAATGGAGACTGGCTTGCTCAGAGGGGTCAGGACACAAAAGAAAGGACTGTGATAAATGAGTTCCTGCTACAGTTGCCTCACTTTTATTTATTCACCAAATGGCACTGACAAGATAACACTCTTTTCTGCCCTTTACATGCTAAAAAATTTATGATTCTAAATGAGATTAGACATTTCTAAAGAATACCGAGAAGAGGGAATACACAATAAATCTCCAAATTTGAGTTTATGCTAAGTTTTTCTAAACACTGAAATGTTCAGTGGGTAAGGAGGATAACTTCAGGGAGATGATGAAAGATATCTGGGGTCAGTGGAAAATGGAAATAAATTTCAATGAATGGAAGAGCAAGTTTTGTTTGTTTATGGAAACTACAATTGGATGTTCCCCTCAAATCTCCGAAGAGTTAAACTTTAGAATTAACATAAAATAAATCAAATCAGAAAAAGGGCAAAGAGTCATAATAGCTTCAAGGCAGCAAATCTAGAGCACAACCTGACTGTACGTGTGAATCCATCTGAAGGTGTTATTCAGGTGGAGGTACAGGTATGGTGGTCTGCAAAGAAAAAGGAGCCACAGAGGCAGTGTGGCCATACCCACCTAATGTCCAGAGCAGAGGGAATGGGACCAAGACCAGTCCCAGGGGCAGCTCTCATCCTACTGTGGATTTAGGTGCTGAGCTCACTCTTGATTAAACTCTGACTTCATATGCACTTTCTTGCTTAAAGGGAAGTGCTGGCTAGAAGATCCTCACGTCCCATCCCCTTGGCACTTATGCATCTTACTTTAAATGAATAAACTGGCATTCTAACTATCACTCGGTGTCCCGAGGCTTGCTTACAGAGAGAAAATTTGGTTGACCAGAGGAAACTAAGATTCAGTCCCTTGCCAGTTACAGTTCCTGTTATAAACTGATATTTTAAAAACCAGTTTTGGAGAACTTGGATGATATAAGTCAACCTTTCTAAAATGGATCTTGTCTTGTTTCTTAGCTCATGAGACTTTGAGCAAGGCCTTGGCCTGTAATGACCTCATCAAGAACACCACTGATTGGCCTGCACTCCTTTCCCTGCTTGGGTGCCAGTCATCTTCTCAACTGACATTCCACAGAAAGTGATGCGTGAAGAGGGACAAGCTCCAACTGCCTGGTTACAATTTATTAGAGGGACATTTTCTGAAGTTCTAAATATACTTCTGCAGCTACAGTGGTCTCTTAAATACTGACTTGTAACAGGAAAATATTGGAAAGAAAACAGAAAACAGCGTTTGTACTTGGAACTCTGAGAGTAGTTCCAGTAGCCATATTTTAACAAAAACCTAATCTCTGCAACAATCCTATAAAGTAGGAACTATTAAAACCTCCAATTTTAAGATAATGATATTAAGACTCAGAGAAGTTAATTAACTTTCCTAAAGTCGTAAATTAGTAAGTGGCAGAGCCAGCATTAGCTCAGTTCTGTCTGTCTTATATCACAGCAGACAACAGATAAAAGAAGTGAATATGAAACATAGACCAGCTGGTGGAAGCAGACAGCAAGGAGAACTGACAGCTGGAAGCAAACACAAAACAGGAGATAATTAGAAAAGTGGAGCAACTGAACCTTTCATTATAGCCTCAAACAGTACTACAAACTTTAATAGTTCCTACGGATATAATACTTTCAAATGTTCAAAAGATAAACGCTGCCTAATCAGAGAAGGCCAAGTCTCATACAGTTGAAAAACTTGCCATTTCTCAACACTTCCAAGGTCATTCTTGTCATGAGCCAGTGTCACACACTGCTGTTTCCTTTCTGAATCAGTTGTACTGGAAGAGCACAGTCCAATAATATACATATTGAAAGATCTAGGCATTATTGTACATTAGAAAGTTTGCTCCACTAACATGAAAACAGGGGTTCAGGTCCCAGATCTGCCACTATGTCAAGATGTGACCAAGGATGAGTCCTTTATCTTCTCTGAAAGTCTCTGTCCATAAAATGAGGGCTGAGCTGAGTGCGTGCTACCTGTAAAATGTTATGATACCACAAGATTATGTTTGATACATTCAGTTTATTAAAGACAGAGACTTTATAAAAAGGTTGAGGTAAAAATGAATGAAGGTGAACTTCAGTAACCTGAAAATTCCTTTCAGTGGAACATTTCATTTAATTATGTTGCGCAATAAGGCATTAGTGTATTATTCCCTATCACAAATATTAAAGTAATAAATGGACTAAAAGATGGATTTAAATAAAATAGATAATGATTTATAATTGCTGTCAAGGCAAACACAAATATTTTGAATAAATTCTAAAACGTTGAGGTTGCTTGTAAACCAGTTTATAAGTTGGTTTTAGCACATGGTACAAAATATGCAAAAAAATAAGTTTCTTCTTCAAATAGTAAATGGCCTGGGTTTTGCTTATTAATAAAAGAAAAACTAATTATTTTAGTTAATCCCCTGAAACTATTTTGTGATAAAGGCTGTTAAAGAATCTGTGCCAATAACCACTAACTCATTGTGTGATTTGCTAATCCTAAATTAATCTCCTGACACCATACACATCAAGTTACCTCACTTTCTACAAAAGTAATAGTTAACGTATACTGAGTACTTATTATGTGCCAAGCACTATTCTGAGTATTTTATATGCATTAACTCGTTTAGTCCAGTAAGGCAGAAACTGTTATCTTCACCTTACAGATGAAAAGGCAGAGGGCTAAGGCCGCCCCAGCTTGTACACGGTGAAGTCAGAATTCAGGTCCGTAGCCTGATCCCGAGCCTGTGCCCTTGACCATTCTGCTGGACTAGTTGTCTTTCTCATCACGTCCTCAGCTCAAATGTACACTTTTTCAGGACAAGGAACACATCCTGCACAATTCCTAGTGCCTAGAACATTTCTCTAGTTAGCAGAGCGCCTGCCATAAGGTCAGTACCCAGTATATTTACAGAATTGAATCTAATCTTCATCTTAAAGTGATAACCTTGTCAATCTGAAATGGCAACAAATTAAAGAAAATACGTTTGTTAATTCTCTCTCTCTTTTTTAAAAAAATATATCTTTATTGATTTCAGAGAGGGGAAAGGAGAGCGAGAGAGAGACAGAAACATCAATGATGAGAGTCATTGATCAAGCCTGCAACCCGGGCATGTGCCCTGACCAGGAATCGAGCCCCGATCGCCTGGATCCTAGGTCGACGCTCAACCGCTGACACACGCCTGGCTGGGCTGTTAATTCTCTTAATGCAGACAAATATCTATATAAATTATTTAGTGGCAAAGAGGTGATACAGAAAACTGCAGGGTGAAGGTGGGCAGGACATGGGACTCCGGGATTAAAACTGAGTGACCCTTTCAATTCTGACTCACTCCATTTTGAAAATGTTATTCTAAGGGTTTCTTATCAAAATAGATTTAAGAAACCACCTTAAAAATAGAGAGAGACAAATAATAAACTCCCATCGAAAGAAGAAAGCTTTCTAGAGTACCCAGGGAATTGCAATATTCTGCTGTCAGGCAATCTTAGTTTTCAAAGATAGAGATTAAAGGTTAAAGCAGCTGAGGGCAGAAAACAACAGATACATCAATATAAACATGCAACTCTCTTTTTAACACAAGTAAAATTTCCAACAGTTTCACAACTTATTTTACTTCACTACTTACAGTGCACTTTCCATATCTGCTATATTTTCTTCCATTTTCTGAGACTACATAGAGGTAAATAAAGTTGTCGTGGGATCCTACAGCCAGGAAGGTGCCATCTAGAGTGAAGTGGGAAAGAGTGTTGACTAGAGAAATACACTGACAGATTAATTTACTGCCATTTTACTGGGTCTATACCAACTGTTGTTTTACAAATGTTGTTCAATCTCATCAATTTAACTGTTATTTGGTGTCTGATGAATGAATCCTCGCATCACTAAACACACTTGGAAAATAAATGTTCATCTAGGCTAGTGCATGATCCTTTCCTGGAGACACTCCCAGGCTCTGGAGTCTACACCCTCATCTCTTAGTTAGTGACAATCTGGCCCCAGGGAGGTTGACCTGCTTTTATGGGTCTAAGTCACAGTATTCATACGGCAAGCTGAGCGTAAAATTGCTCATTTCAGCTGAGCACATATGACCTCTCCAAATACAAGGTTGGCTCTTTTGGGAGGGACCATGTTCTCTTCTTTATGGTCTCCTCTATTGCACTTACCACATAGCAGATGGTTGGTAAGTCCAACTGATCCTTGAATTTTAATTGCTACGTTTACAGTAGTTATTTGTTACTACAGTACTGAAAAAAGCCAATCCAAATCAGAAAACCTTTTGTGCTTCAACTCTTGCCAGGCTTACAGATCTAAGCAAATCTTTTCCTTCCTTTTTCAACTTAGAGACTAGTATTCACTGCTTCCTATGAAACAACTTACAAGTAATCGAAATGACCCTTTGGACCCCACACTGATCGAACAACTACTGGAATATATTTTTGAATATGTGTGAATGTCACTCCTAACTCCAGGGAAGAATAATATCAAAATCATAATAATAAGGGGAAAAGGAAACTGGAATATTATGGAAACTTAACTTTTTGAATAAAGTACAAAGAATTATTCAAACAAGGCTAACCAAATTTATCAAATTGTTGAGTTGCTGAGTATTTTATCTAATTAACAAACAATCATTACTATGTATCCAGTAACAATGCAACTAGATTTTAAAGAACTTGAAGGGCCTATAAAATTTGTGTATTTTAAATATTACTATAGTTTCTTCTCTTATACACAAAGAAAAGGTTGCTAAATAGATGTAACAGTCAGCCTACTACCTGTTCAAAATTCTAAGTATATGTGTAGTTCCAAACAAAGGGGTGGGACGCTGACTGCACAGTTTTCTGTTTTCATTTGCAAATGAGTTGTAACAACAGTTCATTATAAATTTGTGTTTGCTTGATGATTTAGAATGTTGTTTACTTTAGCAGTTTCCTATAGCAGAATTTAATCTGATATTGGGGGAAACATATTCAATACTTAACTCTAGAGAGTAGAGAAAAAAGTAGTCTGCTTTATTGGAAGTGAAAATAAGCAGTTACAGAGAAATGCTGTGAGTGCCAGGGTGGGGGTAAATCTACTTACCTAGTGAGTAGCGCATCACAGAGAGCTGTTCATTCCCGTCTGTGTGGATAGAAACTAGATCTCTGGTTTCTGCATCCAGAACAAACCACCTGTTAAGAAGTAAAAATCAGTAATTTTCAGATATCAGCATTTATAGAAAAAAATGGTTCCTGACCTTTTCTCCCTTAAATTAAGAAATTTTAATAATGCCCTTAAGTATGACCTGTTTCCCTCTTCTAATGAAGGATGAATTCATTTTGCAAAATGCTGCTAGATACAATGTAAATATAATTATACGGGCCTAGGCATGCTCATTTCTATTTAGGTATTCACTGAATGCCAATAGTGTTTCTTTGCTAGGCACTGTCCAAATAGAAAAAGAAGACAGGGTCAGTGTTCTTGAAGGTTATGCTAGAGGTGGAGAAAAACAAATGAGCTAATTAAAACAAGTGTAGTAGGGGAATTCTCAAGAGGAAAATGAATGGTAGCAGACACAGAAAAAGCTCTAGGGAGGATGGGTTGGCAAGATATGGGTAGAGCTAAACCCCGAGGGAAGTTCAGGCAGAAGTGAAAGCTGCATAGCTGTGGAGGTGGGAGGGAACACGCACAGTGTGAGGGTGGGAGGGAAAAGCGGAGGGCCATTCATTTGGTATGATTTCAAAGGAACCAGCAGGGGGCACTCTGCCTCTCTAATACCTCCAACACTTGCCCAGGGAAGCCAAATTTGAGACACTTTTTCATTCACATTTATAGGAAAAGCTGAAATGTAAAAGCATCTTGAGAGGTAAAACAATGACTTAAATCCAACTGCATAATAAATGACTCTTATCAGACTTTTTTCTAAGAGCACTTGCAGGAAGAAATGGTGTTTCAGAAGAGCATGGAGAGATAGAAGATACAAAGAAAAGTCTGGGAACTAAGGATGGACGACCAAAGACTGGGTGAGAGGAGGCAGGTTACAGATAGTACACAGAGCTGGTTGGAGGAGTTTAGAGTTGAGCACTGCCTGGCTCAGATCAGGCACTAAAAAATATTTGTAAAAATGAATGAATGAAATGTCTTGAACATGACAAACCCAAATTGTAGCGAGAATTATTGAGTAGTAAGTGCAGTGTGCAGGAAGAAATGGTTGGGGTGGAGAAAGTGGGAGAAGACTAGAAAAATAAAATCGCTATGTTAATCTCATGTAACAGGACGGGACAAGAGCAGCAAGTTTTGTTTTTAATTTTTCAGATGGGAAAAAAATCCACCACTAAAATAAGCCAGGAACAGAAACCATAATGAACAGTTCTTTTCAATTTTGAAGCCAATTATATAACTCATATCTGGAAAGAGATAATTTCTCTTTCAGATTTAAATAAATACTATTTATGAGAGGAAAGTGCTTTAAAGAATTTATAAAAAAACAACACCCATGTTTAGTGATGTTGTTTCATATGCCTTAGTGTATTCAAGGTAGGAGATGAAAGACTAAAAGATCCCAACGGTTTACCTATCAATGGAATTCCTCTCTAAACACGTTCATGAATGAACTTTAGTAACTTGTGAACTATGGGCTGAAACTTCTAGGTAGCTAACCTAATTCATAAATTCTGTCTTCTATCCAGGTGACAGAAATAGCTTCTGTTTGTGAATACCTGAGTTTAAAAGCAGAAAGCTGGGTACTTTGAAGCCTATGCTGCATGTTTACCGATCATTTCCATTTCAAAAGGTACATAAAAAACATACTTTATTGCAACTGGACAGTAGCCATAGATTACAGGTTTCTTCTGAGAATGTATTTAATTAATCAACTTTATGATTTCCACTGTGATGCTCCTCTAAGACAAGAAGTGCCAAAAGCTGATGCCAAGTGACCTGCCCTCTCAGAGTAAGGGAACAAAAGATTCCACCTCACGTTAAACAGACCCACTAAAGAACAACGAGAAACAGCAACACTCTGCAGGTGTCAGGTTTCAAGTTTTTAACCAATTTATGGAAACTTTACCTACCTTCTTACGCATTCAAAAATGATCACTTTTTATTTTGGAGAAGCCCCAACTGATACTGTTTTAAGACTATTTCCAGGTCAGCTTAATCTTCCTAGGAAAACTGCAAACAATTTTATCCTTTTGAAAACTCCCTTAAAAAGTAAGAAAAATCCTAGAATGTCTCATTGGTATAACATGTAGAAAACGAAAACTCCAAGCCACTTACTAGTTAGGGATGGTAGCTATTAAAAACAAACAAACAAAAAAACCAAAAAAACCTCTGCCGGGGGTGGAGGTGGAAGGGGCCGATGGGGGTAAAAAAGGGGACATCAGTAATATTTTCAATAAAGGTAAATTTAAACAAACAAACAAACAAACAAACACAACCTCTATCTACCTTTTCTATTTTTTAAAAAAATATTGATTTCAGAGAGAGGAAAAGAGAGGGAGAGAGAAATAGCAACGATGAGAGTCATTGGCTGCCTCCTGCGTGCCCCCTACTGGGGATGGAGCATGTGCCCTCACCAGAATGGAACCCTGACATCCAGGTTCATAGGTCGACACTCAACCACTGAGACACACCAGCCTGGCCTTTTCTATTTCTTTAATCACATATAAGAGATTAATTCTTCTACTTTTGGTAAGTAATTTTTAGTAATAATCCAGTAACTGTTATTGAAAGTAAACTACTTCCATATGGACCCCTAGAAATAATTTTAAAGCTCCCACTCTTTTCACTGCATGAATTATGTCCCACCTTCAGAAAGAGTTTCTGGGCTCAGGACCTCTGTCCCTAATAAAGGTATGGAGAGGACAACAAATCCTCTAGGCAAAGGGAATTTCCTAGAAACAAATACTCAAGTTTTCACCGTGTTGAATTTATTCTTATTCTAGTCTAGAGTATGAACACTGGCACCAAGCTTCTGCTTTAAGGTAATCTGGAATCACTATGGCTTAAAGGACCTAATGGATCTTTCTAAATGTAACTGCTCAGCACAGAGATGGGAAATCTCCAGTCACATATTTAAACTAACCTGACTTCTTTGTTGTTGCTAATCCTAACCCGAAGATATTTTTTCCATTGAATTTTTTAGAGAGAGTGGGGGAGGGGGAGAGAAACTTGTGAGTCAAAAAACGTAGTACCATCATTTATCTTTATCCTTTCTAAAGACACTACTCATTTCTTTAGTGACAAAAAAAAAAAAAAAAAAAAAAAAAAAAAAAAAAAAAAAAAAAAAAAAAAAAAAAAAAAAAAAAAAAAAAAAAAAAAAAAAAAAAAAAAAAAAAAA